TTTCCCTCAGCACTCATTGCCACAGGGGGTCATGCACAGCAACAAGCCACATCAGAGCCTTGAAGGCCCTCCGTGGCTTTTCCCTGGCCCTTTGCCATCTGTTGCCTCCGAGGACTTATTTTCCTTTCCTATACACGGCCACGGTGGTGGTTATCCTAGAAAAAAGATTTCAAGTCTGAACCCTGCTTATAGCCAGTACTCCCAGAAAAGTATCGAACAGTCGGAAGATGCTCACAAAAAAGAGCACAAACCCAAAAAGCCCGGCAAGTACATTTGCCCTTATTGCAGCAGGGCGTGTGCCAAACCCAGCGTATTGAAAAAACACATCAGGTCCCATACTGGTGAGCGGCCATATCCATGTATACCTTGTGGTTTCTCTTTCAAGACAAAGAGCAATTTGTACAAGCACAGGAAGTCACATGCCCATGCAATTAAGGCAGGATTAGTCCCTTTCACAGAGTCAGCTGTATCTAAATTGGACCTAGAGGCCGGTTTTATTGACGTAGAAGCAGAAATACATTCAGACGGTGAACAGAGTACAGACACAGATGAGGAGAGTTCTTTGTTTGTTGAGGCTTCTGACAAAATGAGTCCCGGCCCACCCATGCCGCTGGATATCGCCAGCAGAGGTGTCTATCATGGGTCACTGGAAGAATCACTGGGAGGTCCAATGAAGGTGCCGATTTTGATTATCCCCAAAAGTGGGATTCCTTTACCTAATGAAAGCTCTCAGTATATTGGCACTGATATGCTACCAAATCCGTCTTTAAATACTAAGGCTGATGACTCTCACACAGTTAAACAGAAACTTGCACTAAGACTGTCAGAGAAAAAAGGACAAGATTCTGAGCCATCTCTAAACCTTCTGAGCCCGCACAGTAAAGGAAGCACTGACTCCGGTTACTTTTCCCGCTCAGAAAGTGCAGAGCAGCAGATAAGCCCTCCAAACACAAATGCAAAGTCTTATGAAGAAATCATCTTTGGAAAATACTGTCGGCTTAGTCCGAGAAATACACTCAGTGTTTCAACCACAAGTCAGGAGCGCGCCACAATGGGTAGGAAGGGCACCATGGACTCATTACCTCACGTCAACACCAGGTTAGATGTCAAGATGTTTGAAGATCCTGTTTCACAGCTGATCCCAAGCAAGGGAGAGATCGACCCCAGTCAGACAAGCATGCTGAAATCCACTAAATTCAACAGCGAGTCAAGACAATCCCAGACTATTCCATCATCTATCAGGAATGAAGGAAAACTTTATCCAGCCAGTTTCCAAGGCAACAGCCCAGTTCTCCTAGAAGCTCCTGTTGACTCTTCACCCCTTATTAGAAGCAACTCAATGCCAACTTCTTCAGCAACGAATTTAAGTCTTCCTCCTTCTTTGAGAGGAAGTCACTCATTTGATGAACGGATGACTGGTTCTGATGATGTGTTCTATCCAGGGACTGTAGGAATACCCCCTCAGCGCATGTTAAGAAGACAAGCGGCTTTTGAGCTGCCTTCGGTACAGGAGGGGCACATGGAAGCAGAACACCATGGCAGGATGTCAAAGAGCATCACAGGTCCATCCTTGAAGGAAAAGAAATTGATTCCTGGGGACAGGGTTGGGTATGACTATGATGTCTGTCGGAAACCCTATAAGAAGTGGGAGGATTCTGAGACACCGAAGCAGAGCTACAGGGATGTTTCCTGCATCAGCCCCTTGAAACACGGCGGAGAGTATTTCATGGATCCCTCGGTGCCATTGCAGGGAGTGCCAACCATGTTTGGAACTACTTGTGAAAATCGAAAACGCCGGAAAGAGAAGAGTGTAGGGGACGAGGAGGACACCCCAATGATCTGTAGTAGCGTCGTCAGCACGCCCTTGGGCATCGCGACTTCAGATTTCGAGCCCAAATTGCAGATGCAGGAAGGAGCCAGGAGTGGATTCGGCCTGGCTGGACAGGAAAACCCTTCTCATGGTCACTCGGAGCGCTTTGACTCGTGTCGACCCCCGCTGCAATCTGGAAGTCCATCGCTTGGGTCAGAGGAGTCACCCGCAGCTGCTGATTCAGACAAGCCGTCAGACGGAGGGGGCAGGAAACCTCCCGGCAATGTGATCTCTGTGATTCAGCATACGAACTCGCTGAGCCGCCCCAATTCATTTGAGAGGTCCGAGTCCGCTGAACTCGCCGCTAGCGCCCAGGAGAAAGCCTCGTCACCTTCTGAGACCTGTGACAGTGAGATCTCAGAAGCCCCGGTGAGCCCAGAGTGGGCTCCGCCCGGGGAGACCACGGAAGGCGGGGGAAAGCCATCCCCTTCGCAGCAGGTCGCGCAGCCGCCCTACCACGTGCAGCCCCGCCTCGTGCGTCAGCCCAACATCCAGGTCCCCGAGATCCGCGTGACCGAGGAGCCTGACAAGCCAGAGAAGGAGAAAGAGGCCCAGAGTAAAGAGGCAGAAAAGCCAGTGGAGGAATTTCAGTGGCCCCAGAGGAGTGAGACCCTCTCCCAGCTCCCGGCCGAGAAGCTGCCGCCCAAAAAGAAGCGTTTGCGGCTCGCGGATATGGAGCACTCCTCCGGGGAATCTAGCTTTGAATCCACAGGCACCGGCCTCTCCCGCAGCCCCAGTCAAGAAAGTAACTTGTCGCACAGCTCCAGTTTCTCCATGTCTTTCGAAAGAGAAGAAACCATGAAGCTTGCGGCACCTCCCAAGCCGGATGAGTTTGGGAAGCACTCAGAGTTTTTGACGGTCCCTGCTGGTTCGTACTCGTTGTCCGTCCCCGGCCACCACCACCAAAAGGAGATGCGACGCTGCTCGTCCGAGCAAATGCCTTGTCCCCACCCAACGGAAGTCCCAGAAATTCGGAGCAAATCATTTGATTATGGGAATCTGTCCCATGCTCCGGTGGCAGGGGCGTCGGCATCCGCGTTGTCCCCATCCCGGGAGAGAAAGAAATGCTTTCTGGTGCGGCAGGCTTCTTTCAGTGGCTCTCCCGAGATCGCCCAGGGGGAGGCCGCCGCGGATCTGAGCGTAAAGCAGGAACAGCTAGAACATCTGCACAGCAGCCTCAGGGCCACGTGGCACCACGCACCGTGCTCTGTGCTTCCTGCCCTTCAGGCAGAGGACCCAGGGAAGCAGGTGGTGGGTTCTTGTGCCCAGCTGAGCTCAGGACCACTCCACCTGGCCCAGCAACAGATCATGCACCTGGATAGTCAGGAGTCTCTGAGAAATCCCTTCATACAACCAACATCCTATATTCCAAGCAAGCACTTGACTGAACAGCCACATTTATTTCCACATCAAGAGACTCTTCCGTTCTCTCCAATCCAGAACACCTTGTTTCAGTTCCAATATCCTACCGTCTGTATGGTTCATTTCCCAGCTCAGCAGCCCCCCTGGTGGCAGGCACACTTCCCCCATCCCCTGGCTCAGCACGCTCCAAAGAGCTATGGAAAGCCTTCTTTCCAGGCAGAAGTTCACCCCAGCTACCCCTTGGAGCCTGTGGCGGAGCACACTGGAAAGAAATCCGCTGATTATGCGCACACGAAAGAGCAAACCTACCCGGGTTATTCAGGAACATCAGGGCTACACTCCAAGAACCTTCTTCCAAAGTTTCCGTCAGGGGAGAGCACCAAGTCAACAGATACTCCCTCCGAGCAGGTTCTTCAAGAAGAGTTCACCTCAGCAAACGCTGGGCCTTTACAGTCCTTACCAGGAACAGTGGTTCCTGTTAGGATCCAGACCCACGTACCGTCCTACGGGAGTGTCATGTACACAAGCATTTCTCAGATGCTTGGGCAGAACAGCCCTGCCATTGTCATATGCAAAGTCGACGAGAATGTGACCCAAAGAGCACTGGTAACCAACCCGGCCATGCAAGGGATAGGATTTAACATTGCCCAGGTGTTGGGGCAGCACGCAGGCTTGGAAAAGTGCCCCATCTGGAAAGTACCTCAGACCATACCCCTTGGCTTGGAATCCTCGATCCCCTTATGTTTACCTTCCACCTCTGACAGCGTCGCCACCCTGGGAGGCAGCAAGCGGATGCTTTCTCCAGCCAGCAGCTTGGAACTCTTCATGGAAACAAAGCAGCAGAAAAGGGTCAAGGAGGAAAAGATGTACGGACAGATCGTGGAGGAGCTCAGCGCCGTGGAGCTGACCAACTCAGACATCAAAAAGGATCTCTCCCGCCCACAGAAGCCCCAGCTGGTTCGACAGGGCTGTGCTTCTGAGCCAAAGGATGGCTTGCCGTCAGCGTCATCGTCCTTCTCGCTGTCCTCCTCCTCATCTCAAGACCACCCGTCCGCCAGCGTGCCCTTGAGGGAGCCCTTCCCTCCAAGCTCCAGGGCACCCGCTCTGGGGCAGAAGTCCAGTGGGCCTTCTGAAAGCAAAGAGTCCTCAGATGAGTTAGACATTGATGAGACGGCATCTGATATGAGCATGAGCCCGCAGACTTCCTCATTGCCACCCGGGGATAGTCAGCTGGAAGAGCAAGGGAAGGGCCAGAAGCTGCCTGCCGGCATGCTGGTCCCCAGAGTGTCTGACCCAAGCGGGAAAGTGGCAAATTCGACTCTTCTTTTCACGGACGTGGTAGATTTCCAGCAGATTCTGCAGTTCCCCAGTCTGCGGACAACAACGACTGTGAGTTGGTGCTTCTTGAATTATACAAAACCCAATTACGTGCAACAGGCCACCTTCAAATCCTCAGTATATGCTTCATGGTGCATTAGTTCCTGTAACCCAAACCCATCAGGATTGAACACCAAGACCACGCTGGCTCTTCTGAGGTCCAAGCAAAAAATCACTGCAGAAATTTATACCCTGGCTGCTATGCACAGGCCTGGAGCCGGCAAGCTTACGTCATCAAGTGCTTGGAAGCAGTTTGCTCAGGTAACAAATATTGTTTCTGAAAGCATTCTGTGTTGTGGATTTGATTGCTGAGCAGAGTACGTAGTGAAGGACGTACGGAAAAAAACATACAAGTAAAATGAAGACCAGAGCTGGGGAGGGGGTCCTCTGCAAACGGGCCTTACCCGTTGACCCTGAACTTAGTTATGAGGGGTCAGTTCCAGTCAGTACTTAGGAAAGTACCAAGCACAAAGTATCTCCTCAGCCAGGTGCAGTGAAATCTCACCGCAGGGACTAATTCCTTGGAGTTCCTCTCCGTTCCGACCTGTGTTAGTGACCTAGCAGACCAACTTTCCTTTGATGTGAGGACTTCAGGAAATTGTGAAATGAGGACATAGAACAGGGAGTGGACACAGGAGAGGAAAGATCAGGAAGGAGGCTGCAGGGTGTTAGAACTGAACTTTGCGAACTTCTGAGGGAGGGGTTGTTCCCATTGGCTGTCGTTTTACTAACATTTATCTTTAATATATTTCTCTCAAAACTCATTTTTCCAAGGGATTAGCAGGTTCGTTCCTACATGAACAATTATTGCCTTACATGTAGGATTATAAAAATATTAATAAGGGCCACTTTGGAATTTATGCTAAATTAATAAAGAAGTACATGGAGGTCTTAAACAAAAATGTATAATAAATAAATCATAAAATATATTTACTCATTTCAGTTACCATTTCTCTTTAATAATTTTTGAGAATATTTTCTAAATGCATAGAGATTGCTTGAATTGCTACTTCCAAAAACAGAACATGTTTTTAACATTGTTATTAGTGTTGTACAGTGTAAGTGCTAGTGGGGTCTTGTTGGTTTTTTTTTTTTAACAGAATGTTGAATTTATTCTGTAGAAGCTGTCATCTTTTCTGATTTTATCCCTGTTGTCCCTTATTTTATGTAGCCAGCCTATGGCCTTTTAGCATGGAGTTTAGGCTGATTTTCAGAGATCATGGAAGAGTGGGATGTGTGCGCTTCCTCTGTGTCTTAGGGAATGCATACGAAATGATTCTCTCTCTTTGACCTACAGATGAAACCTGATGCGACCTTTTTATTTGGCAGCAAGCTAGAAAGGAAACTAATGGGAAATATCTTAAAGGAAAGAGGGAAAGGAGATATTCATGGAGATAAGGATATTGGATCCAAACAAGCTGAGCCCATTCGAATTAAAATCTTTGAAGGAGGGTAAGGAAACACATGTGCAAATGTAAAGTATTGCATTAAATTCAGCATAAATGGTCCTGAGTGTCTGCATGGAAAAGTCGTATCTCCTCTGGTCTGAAGCATAAAGCAAATTCCTTTTTCTATACACATTTCTGAAGTCTGTCTGGTAATAGATAATGAGCTCCTGCCCTTGCTTTCATGACTTGCTTTTAATGAAAATGTCCCTATTGTATATGGTTCGAACTTCTGCCTTAAATTTTCATACCTCTAATTTAATATGAAATCGACTAAATTTCTGGACTCTTGATATTGTCTAAGTTTGTTCATTCTTTGGTATTACTTTTATAGGCATTTGTTGTGTTAGTAATGGACATATTTTTATTCTATGCTTACAAAAATGCAGTCATGCACACTCATGTATAAACCTAGAAACTAGTTTTATTTTATTGTTTTTATTATTACCTAAAGTCCAGACCTTATTGGGATTTCACCAGTTCCTTCAATACCCTCTTTCTGTTCTAGTATCCAAGCCAGGGCACCACTTCGCATTTAGTTGTCATGTTTCCCCAAACTTCTCTGGTCTGTGACAGTTTCTCTGTCTTTAGGAATTTCTTTTTAAATGTTGAATTCTGAGTTGCAGAAACTCAAGTAATAAGGTTCAATGATTTTGTTGTCTATCTAGTTAAGAAACACTGCATGTATGTGTAACGTCCAGTTTTAGATTTTGATAGAAAGGTATCTTAAATCTAGTCACAGGGGAGAAAAAGCCCAGACTTCTAATTTAAAATTTAAATTTAAAGGACGTTAACCACGTTTGGGGATTGTGATGTGTCTACCTTATCTTTGCAACAGATCTATAATTTACATATTTCCATGAGCATGATTTTATTCTAATTATATTTGGAGAACAAAATAATGTTATCTGTTTGACTCTAAAATGTTGAGTGGTTGGTGATAGGAAGTATCAGTTTCTCACATAGATTTACCAGTTTGGAGATGGATTATCAAAGTTGGTTCCCTGGTAAGGTTGGCCCCCTTGGATGGATGCCTAGTATTGTCACCACTAAAGCCACAGCTGTTTGTAGTCATGAAGCTTGTCTCAGTATTTTTTCACATTCCTCATCTTTTAACACAAACAAGAGAAATAGAGATTTTATCTTTATAGAGACTGAGTGATCCCTGTGACTGAATCAACGCTTACATTCAGCAGTCTTCTTCATAACAGCGCACTTGTACTAGATTAGCGAGACTTTCACAGTTACTGTATGATTTGGGGAGCCCATCTCCACTAACGTAGGACACAAATGAAAAAGCATATGTGAACATTTTATTGCTGTGTTTTGATGATCCAAAAGGATTGGGCCATATTTAATTTTCTCCTCATTTCATTGTCCAATAGTATGGGTTATGTCCCAATGTTTTTTTTTTTAACATCTTTATTGCAGTATAATTGCTCTACAATGCTGTGTTAGTTTCTGCTTTATAACAAAGTGAATCAGTTATACATATACATATATACCCATATCCCCTCCCTCTTGCGTCTCCCTCCCACCCTCCCTATCCCACCCCTCTAGGTGGTCGCAAAGCACCCGAGCTGATCTCCCTGTGCTATGCGGCTGCTTCCCACAAGCTATCTATTTTACATTTGGTAGTATATATAAGTCCTCAAGTCCATTCTCTACGTCTGCATCTTTATTCCTGCCCTACCCCTAGGTTCTTCAGAACTATATATATATATATATATATATATATATATATCTTTTTTAGATTCCATATATATGTGTTAGCATACGGTATTTGTTTTTCTGTTTCAGACTTACTTCACTCTGTATGACAGACTCTACGTCCATTCACCTCACTACAAATAACTCAATTTTGTTTCTTTTTATGGCTGAGTAATATTCCATTGTATATATGTGACACATCTTCTTTATCCATTCATCTGTCGATGGACACTTAGGTTGCTTCCACGTCCTGGCTATTGTAAATAGAGCTACAGTGAACATTGTGGTACATGACTGTTTTTGAATTATGGTTTTCTCAGGGTATATGCCCAGTAGTGGGATTGCTGTGTCGTATGGTACTTCTACTTTTAGTTTTTCAAGGAACCTCCGTACTTTTCTTCATAGTGGCTGTATCAATTTACATTCCCACCAACAGTGCAAGAGGGTTCCCTTTTCTCCACACCCTCTCCAGCATTTATTGTTTGTAGATTTCTTGATGATGGCCATTCTGACTGGTGTGAGGTGATACCTCATTGTAGTTTTGATTTGCCTTTCTCTAATGATTAGTGATGTTGAGCATCCTTTCATGTGTTTGTTGGCAATCTATATATCTTCTTTGGAGAAATGTCTATTTAGGTCTTCTGCCCATTTTTGGATTGCGTTGTTTGTTTTTTTGATATTGAGATGCATGAGCTGCTTGTAAATTTTGGAGATTAATCCTTTGTCAGCTGCTTCATTTGCGAATATCTTCTCCCATTCTGAGGGTTGTCTTTTCATCTTGTTTATGGTTTCCATTGCTGTGCAAAAGCTTTTAAGTTTCATTAGGTCCCATTTGTTTATTTTTGTTTTTATTTCCATTTATCTAGGAGGTGGGTCAAAAAGGATCTTACTGTAATTTATGTCATAGAGTGTTCTGCCTATGTTTTCCTCTAGGAGTTTTATAGTGTTTGGCCTTACATTTAGGTCTTTAATCCATTTTGAGTTTATTTTTGTGTATGGTGTTAGGGAGTGTTCTAATTTCACTCTTTTACATGTAGCTGTCCTGTTTTCCCAGCACCATTTATTGAAGAGACTGTCTTTTCTCCATTGTATATTCTTCCCTCCTTTATCAAAAATAAAGTGACCATATATGCGTGGGTTTATCTCTGGGCTTTCTATCCTGTTCCATTGATCTATATTTCTGCTTTTGTGCCAGTACCATGCTGTCTTGATTACTGTAGCATTGTAGAATAGTCTGAAGTCGGGAGCCTGATTCCTCCAGCTCTGTTTCGCTTTCTCAAGATTGGTTTGGCTATTTGGAGTTTTTTGTGTTTCCATAGAAATTGTGAAATATTTTGTTCTACTTCTGTGAAAAATGCCATTGGTAGTTTGATAGGGATTGCATTGAATCTGTAGATTGCTTTGGGTAATATAGTCATTTTCACAATGTTGATTCTTCCAGTGCAAGAACATGGTATATCTCTCCATCCGTTTGTATTATCTTTAATTTCTTTCATCAGTGTCATACAGTTTTCTGCATACAGGTCTTTTGTCTCCTTAGGCAGGTTTATTCCTAGGTATTTTATTCTTTTTATTGCAATGGTAGATGGGGTGTTTCCTTAATTTCTCTTTCAGATTTTTCATCATTAGTGTATAGGAATGCAAGAGATTTCTGTGCATTAATTTTGTATCCTGCTACTTTACCAAATTCATTGATTAGCTCTAGTAGTTTTCTGGTAGCATCTTTAGGATTCTCTATGTATAGTATCATGTCATCTGCAAACAGTGGCACCTTTACTTCTTCTTTTCTGATTTGGATTCCTTTTATTTCTTTTTCTTCTCTGATTGCTGTGGCTAAAACTTCCAAAACTATGTTGAATGATAGTGGTGAGAGTGGACAACCTTGTCTTGTTCCTGATCTTAGTGGAAATGGTTTCCGTTTTTCACCATTGAGAATGATGTTGGCTGTGGGTTTGTCATGTATGGCCTTTATTATGTTGAGGTAAGTTCCCTCTATGCCTACTTTCTAGAGGGTTTTTAATCATAAATGGGTGTTGAATTTTGTCGAAAGCTTTTTCTGCATCTATTGAGATGATCATATGGTTTTTATCCTTTAATTTGTTAATATGGTGTATCACATTGATTGATTTGCATATATTGAAGAATGCTTGCATTCCTGGGATAAACCCCACTTGATCATGGTGGATGATCCTTTTAATGTGCTGTTGGATTCTGTTTGCTAGTATTTTGTTGAGGATTTTTGCATCTATGTTCATCAGTGATATTGGCCTGTAGTTTTCTTTCTTTGTGACATCTTTGTCTGGTTTTGGTATCAGGGTGATGATGGCCTCGTAGAATGAGTTTGGGGGTGTTCCTCCCTCTGCTATATTTTGGAGGAGTTTGAGAAGGATAGGTGTTAGCTCTTCTCTAAATGTTTGATAGAATTCGCCTGTGAAGCCATCTGGTCCTGGGCTTTTGTTTGTTGGGGGATTTTTAATCACAGTCTCAGTTTCAGTGCTTGTGATTGGTCTATTCATATTTTCTATTTTTCTTCCTGGTTCAGTTTCAGGAGGTTGTGCTTTTCTAAGAATTTGTCCTTTTCTTCCAGGTTTTCCATTTTATTGGCCTAGAGTTGCTTGTAGTAATCTCTCCTGATCCTCTGTATCTCTGCCGTGTCAGCTGTTACTTCTCCTTTTTCATTTCTGATTCTATTGATTTGAGTCTTCTCCCTTTTTTTCTTGATGAGTCTGGCTAATGGTTTATCAATTTTGTTTATCTTCTCAAAGAAGCAGCTTTTAGTTTTACTGATCTTTGCTATTGTTTCCTTCATTTCTTTTTCATTTATTTCTGATCTGATCTTTATGATTTCTTTCCTTCTGCTAACTCTGGGGTTTTTTTGTTCTTCTTTCTCTAATTGCTTTAGGTGTAAGGTTACGTTGTTTATTTGAGATGTTTCTTGTTTCTTGAGGTAGGATTGTATTGCTATAAACTTCCCTCTTAGAACTGCTTTTGCTGCCTCCCATAGGTTTTGGGTCATCATGTTTTCATTGTCATTTGTTTCTCAGTATTTTTTGATTTCCTCTTTGATTTCTTCAGTGATCTCTTGGTTATTAAGCAGTGTATTGTTTAGCCTCCATGTGTTTGTATTTTTTACAGATTTTTTCCTGTAATTGATATCATTCCTTAATCTGTGATCCATCTTCTGCCTGGTGGTAATCAGCTGTTTATTCCAAGAAGTGTGTTACCACCTCTTATTTTGCTGATTGCAAAGTGATAAGTTCAATTACAAAGTATTACTGACCATATTTTTAAGTGTATATGTTTCTTATTACTATTTAATTCATAGACTTAGTAGTTTAATTAAACATACCTTTTAATTATTTTTTTAAATCCATTAACTCGTTTTTCTTTTTAAGTTTTGAATTTTATTTTATTTATTTTTTTATACAGCAGGTTCTTATTTCAATTTTATTCTGTGATCCATCTTCTGCCTGGTGGTAATCAGCTGTTTATTCCAAGAAGTGTGTTACCACCTCTTATTTTGCTGATTGCAAAGTGATAAGTTCAATTACAAAGTATTACTGACCATATTTTTAAGTGTATATGTTTCTTATTACTATTTAATTCATAGACTTAGTAGTTTAATTAAACATACCTTTTAATTATTTTTTTAAATCCATTAACTCGTTTTTCTTTTTAAGTTTTGAATTTTATTTTATTTATTTTTTTATACAGCAGGTTCTTATTAGTCATCAATTTTATACACATCAGTGTATACAGTCAATTCCAATCGCCCAATTCATCATATCTTTTAATTATTTTTTCAAAATCCATTAATTCTTGTATCAAGTAAATTCATGGGTCTGCAGAACTGTTGAAGGGTAAATCAGCTGAGACATTAAAATAGTGGTATTTGAAGATAATACATTGTACATCAAGTTCAATGATGGGCCTGGGCCACAGTAAGCTTAAAGTGTCCTTCCCTGAAGAAAAGTTGCTTTCTATAAAATTATTTGTTTTATTCTATATTCCTTAGGTAATTTCATCCTAAGGTAATTTCATCCTTAGGTAATTTCATGCCCTAAGTTTGGGGCAGAGAATAGTGATATTAAAAGATGAAAGATATTTTGCATCTTTAGGTTCTTTTCTTCTTTATTACTAAGACAATGTGAGATGAAAGGTAAAGTTCAAAATAGTTTTGAACAAAAAGTTGACTTTGGAAATTCCTTGTCCCTAAGTGGGAAAGATTTAAAGGAGCAGAAAGCATGCAAAACTGACTATTCATATTTCTGATACTAGTCAATTCTCACCTGGATTGGTACTGACCAAAAGATAATGTTAAGATTAAATAGCATCCATAGCAGAGTGGATATTTAAATATGTTGGATGGATTTTCTCTCTTAAATATTCTTCAGTGGATTGGACAAATAAAGTTGAACTTGCTTTTCTTTCTGATGATAGATTAGCTAGAACAAAATAGAGAAGTTTGCAGTGCTCTTAGAACGTAAGACAAAACAAAACAAAACTGTAAATCTAGTGCCTTTAAGTCAGTCCACACTGAGTTAAGGCATTTTGTAGGTCACTTTACCTTTTGAAGTTATAAAAAGAGCCCTTCGAAAGGAATATCTTCCCAAGAATGACATTAGACCCATAATTCTAGCCTGAGATTTAAGAGATAATGGTATTCATTGAGTTATTCAGTAGAATGCTGCTATACTCTATGATAGGTCATGTTTCCCTGTATTCTAAACAAAATGTGATGGATGGTGAGCACTAGATAGGTTTCTTCCATTGAGAATTACAGTGAATACCTAAGACTTTGCTCATCTAACTGATTTAATTAAACTAGAGGACCTCATTTATCCTTTCAGACTTCTCTATTAAATCCTTCCAGAAACAAATGCAAATTTGATTGAAAAATAGAATGTCTAGTTTTCATTATGTAACAGTACCTTCCAGAAGCCACTTGAAATTTAGACTTCACTTTAGTACAGATTCATGGTCCTTGGGAAGAGCCGATCAAATCTGTAGGCAACAGTTGGTGAGCTCAGCTCAGCCTGTGTAAGCTAGAAATTTCTGACTCTCGTGCCAGGATTGTAAAAATAGAGTAGAAACTTGCAATGAAGAATTCTATAATCAGTTATATTTATTCTAGCAAATTCAGAGGGGTATGCACATCTTAGATGATGGAATATTAACAAATGATATGTGATAATTTAAATATGCTAATATAACTTTTTGGATGTTTCTTGGCCAGAGGCAGTGAGGTGCACAGCTCTGCAACTCTTTGAGGCTTATATAAGCCCATTGAACATCTGTACGGAGTCCATATATTTACACTTCATAGAAGAGCCAATTCCGTTTTGAACTCCATGTAGAAAAAAATTCCCTTTTATTTACAATGCCAAATCTGTTCTTTCAGGACTTTACTGCATAGATTTCACAGGCTTTGTAGAAATAAAGTTGAATAATTGTAAAAGTCCCTCCTAAAAATTTGTCTTGCAAATGATTAGCTTTTGGTTTGATGTATAACATGCAAAAGTATTTGGAAACACACTGTATTTTCCATTTTTTAACAGGTATAAGTCAAATGAAGATTATGTATATGTCAGAGGACGTGGACGTGGAAAGTATATTTGTGAAGAATGTGGAATTCGCTGTAAGAAACCGAGCATGCTCAAAAAGCATATCCGCACTCATACTGATGTCCGGCCTTATGTATGCAAGTTATGTAATTTTGCCTTCAAAACAAAAGGTACAGGTCTGATTTTTCTTTCTTTTTTTTTTTTAGAGGAAAAACACTTTTTTAAATGGCTGCTCCAGATTCTGAATACTATTTTATAACCGTCATCGACAATTAGTTGGTTTTCTTTGTGAAAATGTGACCCCACAAAATGTATTTTCCTCTTCCTGTTAAGTGGTCTGAGGATGTACATGAGACAGTGAGGCTCCTCTTATGACCTAAGTAAGAGCTACAGACTTAGGTCCAGGCTAGTTGTCTCGAAGGAAGTGGCTAAGAATTGCCTGGATAGCTATTACCTCATGTTGGAAATGTTATGTGGTCTAGAGAATCTTTGCACCGGTATTGAAATACTGCAGGGAGATAATCCATGCCATGGCATTAGAAAAGCAAGGCAGCAGCCGGAAAGAAAACATGTGCCCATGGTCAGTTTCAAGATTATAAATGATGTAGAGACCCGCAGACTCCCCGGTGGGCCCCTCCATCCACACTTGCATTAATTATGCATAGAAATTTGATAGCTTGTATTCTGTGTATTTATCAGCACGGAGACAATTTCTTACTCTCAGGCCATGGCTATTAATCTCATGAAACTAAGACTTGCCTTGAAATGATATTCTCTTTTTTAAAAAAATATCTGTTTTTAGAAGGTAGATTTATATGAAAATATTTTATACTAAAAGGTTGCTTCAATTATATTTCTATCATTTTATAAAATTATGAAAATGTTTATTAACCCAGTGTTCTCAGAATACAAACAGTAGTGAATTAGTGGTGGATGACTTCTGTAGAAGTATGTTTTACTAAGTACTAATGAATCCTCTAGACACACCCTCACTAACCTCACACTAACATTTTCCAATGTTTTAACTTTAGATTTGCATGCCAATTAATCTGCTCCACTACCCATCAAGAAAAATAAATATCAAATAAAATAATCTTTGGTAGAGAAATGTGTGCCTATTTTCTCTTATACACAAAATCCTAAATTGTCTTTATTTGTTTGTCAGAAGTAAAAATGTGTAGCCTCTCAATGTATCAGTTTCTTCTTTATTAAAAAGATATTTATATTATAAGTATGCCTCTTTGTAAGCCAGAAAGAGGGGGAGGGAGTGTTCATTTGCATTTCAAAGGAGATAAACATAAGGTCCTTTAAGTACCATCCACTTTTGCACAATCAAGACCTTTTATGTAGAACTTCACTGAGAGACTCCCTAGGACATAAGAAAATATAAACTTTGGTTTTAGGGAATACTGCAAATCTGCCAGTCATTACAACTGATATTCCCTGGGCATATGAGTTAACTGTAGGTATAGCTGCATGAAACACTGCGTGAAGAAACGTCACATAGCTATTTCTTTTTTCCCAAATTAAATTTGGCTTTGAACCATTGTCTTGGAGTTTTAGCAGGAAATAATTTATTCTTGGTCATTACTGGAGTTTCCTTGTCACCCTTCGGGAATATACAAATGTCTTGGAATCTTAAAAAGAGCAGATCATCTGGGGAAACCCCTCGCCAGTTTTCACTTCTGGCTGAAGTGCTTGTTGTCATGTCATCTGAGCACAGAATCAGAGCACACTTGTAGGACCGGTACCTCCTCTGTGCCTGTGTCACTTCTCCAGGTGCCCTTTCCTGCCATCCTGCTCCCCTCTGTTTGCTATAATCCTTCATATGTTCAAGACTTCAGTAAGCCAAAGTCAGGGTGGGGTTGTTTCTGAGCCCTATTTCTAACTACAAAACTACCCTGAGGATGAGAGCGCAAAGCCTCACTGCCTACTTGAAACGAGTGGAAAGAAAAATATAGGAGAAGAAACACATACTAAGATCTAAATAAACTGTCTTGACATACCTAACATCTACATATGTCCACATACTCAGATCACTTGCACCCTTACAGAAGCAGATGATTTCCATTAATTTATAGATATATTTAATTAATTTACAGATTTTAGAATTCTTGATGATATATCTGTAAAAATTTTTTAGATCTTTAGAAAAATTGTAGATATGATTTTTTTGATAAAAAAGAGCAGTAAGGGCCAGGACATATTTCTATGTTTGAAGTTATCAAAATACCACATAAAATTTGTAGGTATATAAGCAATAAGCCAAATGTTAAGTAAAAAATAAAATAATATAAATAAAATAATAAACAACAGTGCCCCAGTTTAGAGTTGTGGCTCATATATTACATTAATAGTTAGCTAAACACTCTTACAAGGGGAATAAACTATTTCAGCAGGCTGGGTTTCCATCTAGATTCAATGAGCCTACTCTTAAAAATAAAGCATTTGCTGCTATGTTACTAAAGCAGCGTCAAAGTGCAAAGATAATAATATGGCCCTTACAGCTGAATTACTTCCTGAATCTCTTTTGATAAGTTATATATATGACGTGGAATAATATATATATAATTTCATAGATCCTAAATCAGAGGTGATTGGATCAGTGTTTTCATAATTTCTCACATTCCATATAGCAATTATATAAATCTATAGAAACACACATATGTACTTAGGTACACGTATAACTGTATAGTCAGGTCTTCATATCTGTGAATGCTGAACCTGCGGATATGGAGGGCCAATTGTACTACACCATTTTACATAAGGGACAATTGTATATGCCTTATCATCATCATAATACATATTTGACATAAAATTCTTTCTTTTTTTGTAGAACAGTGGGAGTTTCAAGATAAATAAGAAAGGAATTTTGCTTCTCCAGAACTTTAGAAGCTGCTGTCATAAACTTTGCTGATATATGCCAGATGGATAGATGCTAAATACTGAGACTAATGCTTCCTATATGTAGTTAGCTAAGTATTTGTATGGATCTTTGAACTCGTTTACAGGATTGGCCCTAACATTAGTTTGCATATATTTTTTCTTCTGACAAGTGAGGATCCTGTGAGTTTAATCTATATCTGATCAATGCCAGAAGGTCTGGGGTCCGGTGGATGTGTTGATGACAATATTTCATCCTGAAGTTGCTCAGACAGGTGTGACCCAGCTTGTGCCATCCTGGTTATATGGAGTCCAAGGAGGTGGGCCCAACTGGGCCAAAGATATTAGATCCCTTCTCAGCCAGGAAAGCCTGGGATTCCCAGTTGTACTTGAGCCTACTCTTGAAAAGCTGTGACCCTAGACTTCGACAAGTCTTCTAGAATGCAGAAAACCTGAGATTGGGCTGAAGCTGTCTGGGGTTAATATCTTCAGAAGCCAAATTGTTCCTCTTAAGTTTGAGACAAGGGGCAGGGGCGTGAAACAAATCTTTGTTATCTCAAGTCAGTTCATTTCACACTGAATTTTACAGCAATCATCACATTTTGGTAACCATTTAATTGCTCTTTTTTGGCTGTATTTTCCAGGAAACCTAACGAAGCATATGAAATCTAAAGCACACATGAAGAAATGCCTGGAGTTGGGGGTCTCAATGACATCAGTGGATGATACCGAAACCGAGGAAGCAGGTATTTCATACTTTAGATGACTGAACTCTTTACTGTGCATGCTGGAGCTTTGTGGCCAAGGTGGTAAAATAAATTTAGGTATTTTAAAAAGATACTGATCACATTTCATTTTACTAAATACTAAATATAGAAAAGAAGTCTGACACATTGGATTGCTTGAAACTTACTGAGAAGAAATGCATTTCAGTTCTGGCTGAGGAGGTTGAAAGGCCTTACTATGGAAATACTTCTATCTAGAACCATAAAGGAGATCTAATTGCACTTAAGTTGTGATGGTGATTTAAAGTTTATGAAACTTTTTGGGAAACTTGAAAAGCATTTTGTCGTATATTTCCTATTAAGAGGAAATCTAGTAGTAAAAATAATCCATCACTAACCTCAATAGAAAACCTGAGGGTCAGCTGGGCCTCGTGAGGTCTTATACCTGTAGAGACAAGTCTTGCTTCTCTTTTTCCTCTATTACCATCATTAACAACATTGCATACCCATTTATTGAATGGTATGATGCCTGAGTTATAAGGTCCTACTATGGAGTCCGTATTACAGGGTGGAGATGAAACCAGATAGGTGCATAAAAAAAAAACAAGAACCAGTCTAGAGTCACAGAGGTATGTGCCCGTGTGTGTTATAGGAATTCAGAGATAAGACTGTCTCTAAGGGCTGGAGGGTTGAGGAAAGCTTTTGGAAAGAGATGGGGCCTAAATTAGCTCCTAACCTCCATGTTTGGATCTTGATCTTCACTCTCTTTGTTCAATTGCTTCAGAAACGATGGAAGATTTGCACAAAGTGGCTGAGAAGCATAGCATGTCCAGCATTTCAACTGATCATCAGTTCTCAGATGCTGAAGAATCGGATGGTGAGGATGGAGATGATAATGATGATGATGATGAAGATGATGATGACTTTGATGACCAAGGAGATTTGACACCGAAAACAAGATCAAGAAGCACCAGTCCCCAGCCTCCTAGATTCTCCTCCTTACCTGTGAATGTTGGCGCCGTGCCCCATGGGGTTCCTTCTGATAGCTCCCTGGGGCATTCTTCATTGATCAGCTATTTGGTTACTTTGCCAAGTATTCAGGTTACTCAGCTTATGACACCAAGTGACTCATGTGAAGATACTCCAATGACAGAATACCAGAGATTATTCCAGAGCAAAAGTACAGACTCGGAACCAGACAAAGACAGGTTAGACATCCCTAGTTGTATGGATGAAGAATGCATGCTGTCTTCAGAGCCGAGTTCCTCCCCAAGGGACTTCTCACCCTCCAGCCACCATTCCTCACCAGGATATGATTCTTCACCCTGTCGAGATAATTCACCAAAGAGGTATCTGATACCCAAAGGAGATTTGTCGCCCAGAAGACATTTATCACCTAGGAGAGATGTGTCGCCCATGAGACATCTTTCACCAAGAAAGGAAGCTGCCTTGAGAAGAGAGATATCATTAGGAGATGTTTCACCAAGAAGGCATCTGTCCCCAAGGAGGCCAGTGTCACCTGGGAAAGAGATCACAGCCAGAAGAGACCTCTCTCCCAGAAGAGAGAGAAGATACATGACCACCATAAGAGCACCATCTCCCAGAAGGGCTTTATACCACAACCCACCGTTGTCCACGGGACAGTATTTGCAAGCAGAACCAATTGTATTGGGGCCTCCTGTAAGTATAATTAGCTTTCTCTTTCTAATATATAAGTCCAAGCACATTGGAGTCTCTTGATGACACACTAGTGTGAAATGTATTATGACATGGGTCTCTCTCAGGGGGAGGAGTAAACTTGGTTACTGAAAATAGAAGGAAGACATTTTTATTGCATGCTATTGTCAGTAACATGTCTGTGGTATTATCCCAAGTGTAGTATTACATCAGAGAAGAGCATTTCCAGCTGGTAACAGGGGAGATCTTTCTGAATGCTTTCTAAACCTAACTCATTATTGACAGGAGTTGAAACCTTTGCATGAGTAGAAAAGGTGAAGTCTTTGGAATAGTGTGGCTGCCTAGACAGACATTCTCAGGCACATTTAGGTGTCATTTATGTAACTCTTTGCCAGGTAAGGATTCTGGTTCAGGCATTAGCATTGACTTTCAATCAAAAAAAATATTTTAAAATAAGCTCATTACTTTGCCCACAGTGAGTGGACATGTGAAACCAGTGAGGGATCGGAAGTGGGGAGAATGAACCCCTTGGTATGTTTATAAATGAAAAGCATGAACATGTATGCTTTTCTTCCTGGTACCACCACTTCCTGCTACTGAGTGCCCTTGTAAAGTGAGATCGTGAGCCCACAGAGAATGGGGAGTTGGGAAAGCTAAGGGAGAAAGCATCAGAGGCGATTTCTACGGTATGCCCTAATTATAGATTAAGATAACAACAGCAGCAATCGTGGATGAAATTTAGGCAGTAGGCTTGTGCAAATCCATAGAAAAGCACCTGCCCTGCCTCATTCCGCCAGCGTGGTAGACCTTGATGTCTCTTTCAGCTTGTGTACGGTTTTAAGAAATGAAGGAAGAAGGCACCTAGCGTAGACAGAGGGATGATACCTTTGGAGTTTGGTCGCTTTAAGGGTGCTTTTTGTTTCCTGGGCTCTATTCTTTGCCATTCTCTTTTTGCTCTGGATTTCCATCATGTGGGTCGGCACTGTCCTTCACAGCCAAAGGAAGCACTACCAGCTCCCAGCTCTACCGTCTTATCATTGCCCTAGTGGTCACCTTCCTCCCTCTCGTCACCTTTTCACCACCCTGAATTATATGCTTAGGTTGTCATTTTTGAACTTTAGGAAAACTCCCTGCTGCATTCCACTCCCCTGCCCCCAGCACCCTCTGTTTACAAGCCCGCCACCAGCTTAGTCTTCATGGTTCAATTACTGCAGAAACATGTGTAGCTATCAGGACTATTTGTAACTATTTGTCAAACAAATAAATTAGCAAGCTAAGAAAAAGAGGGACATTTCCACAGGTTTTTTGTGTCTTGGTGGTGCTAAGTAGAAAGCAGGGCTCTTCTGAAGTTCATGCTATTGCAGCATGAATAGGGTGAGAAATCCCTCCGATACCAGGATACCACATCCAGGGTGTAAAATGCTTTTTCTGGTATAGACCCAATGATGCTGATGAAGTGTGTGAGATGAGGCTCTCCTGTTCCTGATCAACTACAGCCACAAAAAAATAACCCTTTGGTGCCAACACACTATTGTTATTAAAAAATAATAGCAACTCACAGCCAACTTGGGCAAAGGAAGTGAAGGAGTAGACTGAAGGACTTCATCTAATTTTTGGATCTATGGCCAGAAGGTTGTTGTTGGAAGGAGATTGGTTTTTACTAGTCATTGACTTTGCACCAGTTTTTTTTTTTTTTTTTAATACCAGTTTACCTGGATACTTAATATTATTGTTGAACTTTACCATTTATGAAGCCCAACTGTTGAGCCTTTGGTCTATTACCCAGTTTAATTCTCTGTAGAGAATTCTTAGCAGGCTGCTTTGTTCATGCGATAGAAAGGAATAGACCTTGGAATCCTCCCTGAGGATCCTCCCCAAGCAGAGACACTTGGTCTCGAACGCTTCCAGTTTGATGCTTTACCACACCTTTTGGAGGGGCTACAGAGGGTTTTCATCTTTCCATGATGTATGGACAAGATTTTCATTGCCAGAGCAAAAAAGAATCAATGATCCTATGAGAAGTACGTCTCCTGATTGCTATAGTAGATGAGTGCTTCCCCCTCTCTAAATAATGTATGAACGTATTAAATTGGAATAACCCTAAAAATAATTCTTTTTGATGGAAATTCTATTAGCAATACCTTGTTGTTTAACATTGACCAAGGGCTCACAGGGCAGTGACTGTGGCATGAAAAGACCTTGTAGTCCCAGTGTGGCATGCTCATTACCTGGTTCAGTCTGGAGTGGTAGGTCCCAGGGAGCAGGTTTGGAGGAGGTGATATGCAGTCACTGAGATTCTAGTATCCTGTTGTTTCCTCCCTAATGCCCTCCGGTTAGTGTTAATTTTAAGACAGATGATAGATAGGTAGATATATGATAGATAGAAAGGTAGATAGATAAACAATAGAAAGGGCGGGGGAAAAAATTACAGGGAACTCCACACGTTAGCTGCCATTGCTTTCCCTGGAGAGGCTGAAAATCTTTGAGAGGCTCACTCTAGGGGGAAAGTGTTACTGGATAAGTCTGGCTGATGGGGAAAGAGAGAGAGAGAGGAAGAGAGAAAAGAGTTTTTTATTCATTCATTCAGTAAATATTTTTTGAGGGTTTATCATATGTGGCTCAAGGATGATGATGAAAAAATTGTACAGTTTCTGGCCTCATCTTTTTTAAACAAAAAATTTTCCTTTTCTATTTTTAAAGTTTTTGTAGATAGATAGCAAGGAGACAAAGAAAGTGTGTCCTGGTCCTCGGTACAGTGTCCGTGAACATTGTCTAGTAAAAGTGTCGTCCTGCGGTTCCATCCCTTTTGCTCTCTGTGTGATCTTGAACAAGTCAATCAACCTCTTGGCCACAGTTTCTTAATCTGTTTGTGGCAGTCAGGGGGCTGGGCCTAGCAGATTTCTGTCCTTGAAAGAACTTGCCATTCAGCTGTAAGGAATGCAGTGAGCTGACAGCCTCCAGTTGTTCATACCTTCAGGCTAGGCCTCCATTTTCAAGCCAAGGCCACGTTCTCCCCTGCAGCCCCCAGTCAATGGCTGAGCCTGGATCAGCCCCAGCTGACCACCTGCTTCCTCTTCCCATTCCCTTCCCATACATTAACTCCCCGCTCCCCCATCACCACCCCCAGCTGAACCTCTTGCACCCCTACCTCTTTCTGAGCCTTTGCTTCCAGAGGACCTAGTGACACTGTTGAAAAGGTGAGTGGGGTAAATATCTGGTACGTGGGGTATATGTATAGATATACACATATGCATGCACTTAACACAACCCACACATGCATTCATTATTCATCTGTCCGTATCGAGATTTTTAAGTAAGATGGGAGTGTGTTCACGATATTTCAATGATAAGGTCCAAGTTATGAGAATAGTGTTGCAAATGGAGTAAAAATTAGAGTAGAAAAATCTTCTTGAGAGTTTATTTGGAGGGTGAAGAAAGGGTCAGTTCAAGGGCAGAGGATATGTGGAAAAGCCTGGCAGTATTTGGAGCCATGGAAGTGGTTACATGATAGGAATTGTACTTGTGCACTTGCTTCTGTGACTATAATCATTTAATTTCTGGTCAGTAAAGGCCTGACTATAACACTTTTACTCTTAACACAAAATTCTGTTGGCTATTGAATGTATTGAATACCTCCTATTTTTAGAGGACAGTTCACCACTCCCTTTGTTAGACTTGACTCAGAGATCTCATGAAATGGGACAGCTGTGTCTCTGGCTGCCTCACAGACCCCTATTCTGATTAGGTGTATGCAGTGGACATCACAGAATAGCAATCAAAAGCAAAATGGAAAAATAGCCAAGCTACATTTTGTTTTAAACTTTGAATCTGTGATAATCGTGATTAAAAGAAGATTCATTTGGTTAGCTTCAAAGGTCATTATTGTAGGCATTATGTTCTTCCACCTTATGTGGTGATGGATGAAGGAAACATGCCTTTTTTCTAAACCAGAGCAAGTACAAGAGGCATTTTTTTTTTGGTAGCATTTAAATGATTCTTTCTCATACCATAAAATTCTCCCCTTACCTTGCTTATGAGGTGCTTGTGGTTATAGGGTGGATGATTACATGATTTCTCCTGCACTTTCAGCACAGGTCATTTGTTTTTGGCTTGAATAAGGTGAAGCCCAGAACAGGGTAAGGGCCAAGCCTGGTACAGAGTAGCAGAGACGATGCATAACATCGTTCTTGAGCTGGTCTCACGATCCAAATAGAACTGGAAGAATCATTAATGGTATAGAGCGCATCTTGAATTTTAGAACTGAAACATCCTTGAAATGAGTTAGAACATTTTTTGGTCTCTCCTGATTACTACCATATTTGCCACATTTGTATCTCTCTGATTTTAAGTTCTCAAAAAAATAAAAATAAAAATACAAATACAGTGAGTCTCTTTTAGATGACGATTCATTAAAAGAATGAATCTCAGTAACTGAAGCCTCATCATCTCATCAAAACCTGATAGTCTCACAGTATAAGTTGGGTTTTGCTACAGAAACAATTATACAAAATAAGTTCTCCATTTTCAGGACTGGGACCATAAAATCTGGAATACTGGCCCCCAATTTTAAGTATCTTAATCCATTAATTGCCAAGAAGATATTTAAGTGGAAATCGTAGTATAAACAGAAGAATTAAAACACAATCATCTTTGGTTCCCAGCTGTGTAGTTGAATGCAAGTTGTAACGATTTGAAATATTTAATATTAACTACTTTGATGCATAGTTTCCATACTAAATCTGGCCTTGAATTAAGATTTGATGGAGAAGCTGTGCTGATCTTCTGCCTCGATGTCTCCTGAGCAGGAATTTATTGCTTTAGACCAATGTCTTGCACATTGGAGTAACCAGTTTGTGTTATCACCACCATTTTGTCATCTGTTCTGTAGAAAACTAAAAAAAAAAGCAAGCTAATTTTCAGGCTTGTCACTCCATTTCTATTCATCAACACTTAAGAAAAATATTAAAAATCTGCCCAGCATGTAAACAGATGGTAATCTTTTAACTTCCTTTTGAATTAAAAAATCTATTATTAGTGTTTTTTGGCTCAGTAAAGTTTTTTTGGTAATTATCCATTATTTTCTTTTCATTCCATCTTATGAACAAAACAGAGCTGGAACGTGTCTCTGTACCTAGTGGAAAACACATTGCATGATTTATTACATTGCTGTTTAACAGCAAAGGCAACTTTTCACAGACCCACCACCTCATTCAAGAATCCTAAAAGACCGCTGAGAAATTCTCTTTTGTCTTGAGAAATAAAAAATGGATAAAAAGATTAGGGAGTCTCCACGTGTCTTGAAAGAATGAGTGAGTGAATGAATGAATGAAACAGCTTGACCTAAGCGTGAAACGTGATGGGTCCTAAGCATTGTGCTCTCTGTTTCCCGATGCAGAATTTAAGAAGAGGATTACCTCAGGTTCCTTACTTCAGTCTCTATGGAGACCAAGAAGGTGCTTATGAACATCCAGGCTCCAGCCTTTTCCCTGAGGGTCCTAATGACTATGTCTTCAGTCATCTTCCACTCCACTCTCAGCAGCAAGTGCGAGCTCCTATCCCCATGGTGCCAGTTGGTGGGATCCAAATGGTTCACTCCATGCCGCCGGCCCTTTCCGGTTTACACCCTCCACCCACATTGCCTCTGCCAATGGAGGGCTCTGAGGAGAAGAGAGGAGCTTCAGGGGACTCCTTCGCCAAAGATCCCTATGTGGTTCCTAAGCAGCACGAGAAGCGAGCTCCTCACGCTCTGCAGTCATCTGGTCCACCTAGCACCCCCTCCTCTCCTCGGCTACTGATGAAACAGAGCACTTCAGAAGACAGCCTGAATGCAACAGAGCGGGAACAGGAGGAAAACATACAGACTTGCACAAAAGCCATCGCCTCCCTCCGGATCGCCACAGAAGAGGCCGCTCTGCTGGGGGCAGACCAGCCAGCTCGGGGGCAGGCGCCCCATCAGAAACCCTTGGAAAGTGCACATGTTAGCATTAGACACTTTAGTGGACCTGAGCCAGGTCAGCCCTGTACCTCAGCTACCCACCCTGACTTGCGTGATGGTGAAAAGGACAATTTTGGTACATCACAGACTGCATTCGCTCACTCCACGTTTTACAGCAAGAGTTGTCTGGATGACAAACAGTCGGGCTTTCAAGGCAGCAAAGAATTACCCTCAAGCACAGAGGAAGTCAAGGAACCTTCGTCGGAGAAGAGTCAGCTACATTGATCTAAGATGCATGGAGACTTTCATTTCCACATTTTCCTCTTTGTTTTTGTTTTTCTAGAAATAGAGGTAATCAAGTTTATAGCATGCCTGTCCTAAGTTACAGTAGTTTGCTATTATATATACTTTTGTTATATCAAAAGAATTAGGTAAATTAACAAGTCATCATGAGCCTGACCAAAACAAAATTTGAAATTAACCTATTGGGTCTGGTACTTTTAAAATTGTACAGATGTTTGTGCCTTTTCTTTACTTTGCTTATATTCTTATAAGCATTTTTTAGCAGTAATTTGTACATATTTTAGAATTTGTGTATCTGCTTTGTAATAAATGTAATTTCTTTCCTTTTTTGGACACTTGGATCTAAATGATGTAAAGCAAAACAGCATCAATATATATGTGAGGTTGCACTAAAACATATTTTTATATGATTAAAACTGAACAGCTTTTATGTACAGCTCTGATTCTGTAATACTAATATTTATTTACTTTGTTTCATAAATTGTACATTTTTTCTTAATGTTGTGGATTGCTTTTCTATGTGAAGCATGGGATTTACTGTTGCGTAACTAGAACAAAAATGTATATTGTAAACAAGATATTTAAACTAGAGTATCTTATTCTGCACTTATGCATTAGTTTAAAAAAAAGATAAAGGATGTATCAGTCAGTTCTTAACTCTTGTAAATTTTTTTGTCTCTTGTTTGCTGGATTGACTATAACTTAAGTGCTGATTGTGATTTTAAACTGATAGTACCGTAAAGCATTAAAGTAAACAATGTGCTATTGTGAGTTTTTTCAAAGCTTTATAAATCAGTTATAAATAATATTAAAAGTATTTGGTCTTATGTGAACATGTTGATCTATATACTCATCTAAATATATGGGAAAACATTCCACCCCATGTAAATATGTACAAGTGCATCACTGGTACAATTTATGTAACTCAGTTGGACACTAGGTTGCCACAGACCTATGCTAGGGTGTCTTTAAAAATTAAAGTGACAAAGCACATGGGACTGTGTTGAGCTTGGTTATCGGCCGGCCCGGTGGCTTGGCAGGCAGTGCTGTGCGCTGCCCATGGAGAAGACCTGGGCTTAGCGATCTCCTTGGTTCTTGCTGCACGAGATGGTGACTGGAACTAAGGTACTACAGAGGGGTCGCGCTTGGACTGAGGGCGGGGTGTGGAAGTGGGGAAGGGCACGGAGACCTGCTCCCCAGCCCTTCCTGTCAGCCAGTCTGCACGGTAACAGGGTTGGCATCAGCTCTAGGGGAAGCCACTTGACCCTACTGCAGAGGGGAAGAGTGTCACACTCCTGGCTATCTCAGGGGGAACGGAAAAGGAGCTTTCCAGGGAAAAGAACTTGTGGGAGGATAGTGTCTTTTGTAGATAACATTTAGAATGGGCTTTGGTTAGGGTGGACAGTGGGCAGAACCTTTGTAGGTTCAGAAGAATGGAAGGAAGGGAAGGAGTACAACACATGCGCGCACACACACACACACACACACACACAATCTGGGTTATCTTTGTGCTATATAGTGGATTATAATTCTGTGAAACCAAGTTTGTATATTGAATTACATTAAGGAGTGTTCTTTAAAAAGAGAAATAAATATACGATTACATGCTTGAGGTGTCTAGTTTTTATGTGTTGTTTTACATTTTAATTTCCCAATTTTGTTGGTGCAGAAATTTTGAGGCTACCAACATACCATCTGTGCTTTTAATTGCTAGGCTCTGCCTATCCCGAGGTGTGCAGAGTATGAACGCTTTTAGCATGTGAGAAGGCAGTCATTGGCTTCCATATGTCATCCGATTAGCACAGAGAGTGGTCAACACAGTGCGAGCTCTAGAAATGGGGTCCTCAGAACCTGGGCATGGGATGGATATCTGCGAAGAGTCATGAATAGATCAAATGATCATTTCCCCTCTGCTTCCCTCTCAGTATGCATACATGTCTGAAATTCCCCCAGTGGGGAAACCTCTTTATTTTTGCTGAGGTGACTGAAGGTAAAAACCAGCTGAAACAAATACACCATAAAATATCCAGAAATCATAGTTCTTCCATTACAAAAAAGTAGAACCTTTTAATAATGGAAATAGCTCATTAAAGGTCAAACTCTATCAGTATTTTCATTCCAAAAATCTCAAATTGGTGGATTTACAACTTACCTATTATGTTTTATGAGTCAGACTGTCTTTTTAAAACTGTGTTTTACAAAGGTGAATTAAAGGCCACCACAGCTAGCCTAATATCTGTCTCTCACAGAGAATAATCCTTGCAACATTTAGTTGCATAGGGTGATTTGTGTGTCTTACTCCTCACTGGGGGGGGCGGGGTGTGCGTGTGTGTGTGTGTGATCCCTGTGGCCAAATCAAATACGCTTCTTCCTCTATCTAACTCATTTCATGTATTCACTTGTTCATAAAACAGTCTTTGAAGGCCTACTATGAACTGGGTACTATAATTGACGTTTAGGATGAATAAGAGAGTATTCCTGCCATCAAGGAGCTCAGATAAAGAGGAGAGATGTATATGTGAGTAAATATATACAGTATGCTGTTAGTGCTAAAATACTGGCGCATTTGGTGTGTTTTGCAATCACAAAGGAGAGAGCAGTCACCCTGCTGAGAATGAAAGGAAGCACGGAGCAGGCTTCACTGCAGAGGTGGGGCCCTGGAACTGTTACAGATCAGGGTTCTTGGACTTCTTCATCAATGGACATTGAACAGAGGCCAGACAAGAAATTCAGGCAAGGCTTTATTGGGGCCCCTGCTGCAGCAGGGGGGAGCGAGAACAAGCAACAGTTTCCCTTGCGTGCTTGCTCACTGAGGGGGGAATGAGCTGGTTCCTTCTATGGGGTGAGTACGTGCAGGTCCAGGGGTCGGGCTGGAGTGATGGCTCAGGTTGTTTGCTCCCACCTTTGGTGGTGTTGTGTGCAGGGGGCATGCGCAGTATCCTGCTTTTGCTCCCGGCTCTTCAGAAGTGGCCATTGGTCTTTTTTTTTGTTGTTGAATTTTTGAATTTTATTTTATTTATTTTTTTATACAGCAGGTTCTTATTAGTCATCCAGTTTATACACATCAGTGTATACACGTCAATCCCAATCTCCCAATTCATCACACCACCACCCCACCCTGCCGCCACTTTCCCCCCTTGGTGTCCATACGTTGGTTCTCTACATCTGTGTCTATTTCCACCTTGCAAACCAGTTCATCTGTACCATTTTTCTAGGTTCCACATATATGCGTTAATATACGATATTTGTTTTTCTCTTTCTGACTTACTTCACTCTGTATGACAGTCTCTAGATCCACCCACATCTCTACAAAAGACCCAATTTCGTTCCTTTTTATAGCTGAATAACGTTCCACTGTATATATGTACCACATCTTCTTTATCCATTTGTCTGTCAATGGGCATTTTGGTTGCTTCCATGACCTGGCTATCGTAAATAGTGTTGAACATTGGGGTGCATGTGTCTTTTTGAATTATGGTTTTCTCTGGGTGTATGTCCAGTAGTGGGATTGCTGGGTCATATGGTAATTCGATTTTTAGCTTTGTAAGGAACCTCTATACTGTTCTCCATAGTGGCTGTATCAATTTACATTCCCACCAGCAGTGTGAGAGGGTTCCCTTTTCTCCACACCCTCTCCAGCATTTGTTTGTAGATTTTCTGATGATGCCCATTCTAACCGGTGTGAGCTGATACTTCGTTGTGGTTTAGATTTGCATTTCTCTAATAATTAGTGCTGTTGAACAGCTTTTCATGTGCTTCTTGTCCATCTGTATGTCTTCTTTGGAGAAATGTCTGTTTAGATCTTCTGCCCAGTTTTTGATTGGGTTGTTGGTTTTTTTTTTACTATTGAGCTGCATGAGCTGTTTATATATTTTGGAGATTAACCCTTTGTCTGTTGATTCATCTGCAAATATTTTCTCCCATTCTGAGGGTTGTCTTTTCATCTTGTTTGTAGTTTCCTTTGCCTTGCAAAAGCTTTTAAGTTTCATTAGGTCCCATTTGTTTATTTTTGTTTTTATTTCCATTACTCTAGGAGGTGGGTCAAAAAGGATCTCACTGGGATTTATGTCAAAGCGTTTTCTTCCTATGTTTTCCTCTAAGAGTTTTATAGTGTCTGGTCTTACATTTAGGTCTCTAATCCATTTTGAGTTTATTTTTGTGTATGGTGTTAGGGAGTGTTCTAATTTCATTTTTTACATGTAGCTGTCCAGTTTTCCCAGCACTACTTAATGAAGAGACTGTCTTTTCTCCATTGTATATCCTTGCCTCCTGTGTCATGGATTAGTTGACCATAGGTGTGTGGGTTTATCTCTGGGCTTTCTATCCTGTTCCATTGATCTATATTTCTGTTTTTGTGCCAGTACCATACTGTCTTGATTACAGTAGCTTTGTAGTATAGTCTGAAGTCAGGGAGTCTGATTCCTCCAGCTCCGTTTTTTTCCCTCAAGATTGCTTTGGCTATTCGGGGTCTTTTGTGTCTCCATACAAATTTTAATATTTTTTGTCCTAGTTCTTTACAAAATGCCACTGGTAAGTTGATAGGGATTGCACTGAACCTGTAGATTGCTTTGAGTAGTATAGTCATTTTCACAATATTGATTCCTCCTATCCAAGAACATGGTATATCTCTCCAACTGTTTGTGTCATCTCTGATTTCTTTCATCAGTGTCTAATAGTTTTCTGAGTACAGGTCTTTTACCTCCTTAGGTAGGTTTATTCCTAGGTATTTTCTTCTTTTTGTTGCAGTGGTAAATGGGATTGTTCCCTTAATTTCTCTTTCTGATCTTTTGTTGTTAGTGTATAGGAATGCAAGAAAATTTTGTACATTAATTTTGTAGCCTGCAACTTTACCAAATTCATTGATTAGCTCTAGTAGTTTTCGGTGGCATCTTTTTGGTTTTTTTTGTATCTTCTTGTCCATAATTTGCCTCCACTGTGCATGCACACAGTTATTTTTAGTCCCTTATAGTTTCTTTGTATTTTGTTGCTCAAGGAGAATTTGTCCAAGTGTAAGCACTGCAGCAAAGTGTCCCAGGTCTCAGCCTGTCTCAGAACAATTTATTGACTTACTCATTCAATAGATA